ATTATAATAATTTAAATATATGTCTTTTTAGTTGTGTTTTATTTTCAAATAAATTGTTCAAAATACTAATATTTATTGTTTAGGAGATAGATACTCCAAGTCAACAATACTGTTAGTGTTCTGTTCCCTGTGTAATGGTACGGTTAAAAAAACGACCACCCTTTTTTATTATTCACCAATTATTCTCATATTTTTTTTTTGGATATAGCCTATCCAACTGACACCTCCAGATCCACCTGATCTAAAAATAGTCTTTTTGTTTAAATTTCATTTATTGCCTTCGACTGAAGGTTATGCCTTCGGAGAAGGCTATGAAATCGCGTTTGCAGAAGGCAAGGTCCGAGGTTCAGGATTTTTGGCAGGCAGGTTGATTTGGGGGTGGCCATTGTCAAGGCTAAAAATGGGCTTCGTGGGGGGTTCCTAAATCACTGTAGTTGACCTTGGTTTTTGGTGTTTTTCCCTGTCATCAAGATATCTCGAGTATCCTTAAATTGATGTTCATGATTTTTAGTGGGCAAGTTACCGTTGAGAATGCCGAGGTCAAGTTCAAAGATGGGCCCCGTCGGGGTTTCTATGTCACTGCAGTTGACCTTTGTTTTTTGTGTTTATTCTTGTGACCAAGATAAGTCGAGAATCTTTAAATGGATGTTCATGTTTTTTAGTTGGCAAGTTACCATTGAAAATACCAAGGTCAAGTTCGGATATGGGCTTCGTGGGGGGTCTCTACGTCATTAAATTAGAAATTACTGCAGCGAAACTTCTGGTTTTTAAATCTCGTGAACTGGACGTGCTAGGGTCATTATTTTTAGATGGTACGTAGCTCTTGTGCTCACAAAAAAGTGCCATAAGTTTGGGTCCCGTAGCAGCTTGTTTGGGAAATGCAGAGGCATTTGTTTGAAAATGTTTAAAGTAGGATAGCTCAAGAACCGGTTGACGGATTGTTGTTATTTTTGGTATCTCGGTAGCTTAAGTGATGCTTGACCTAATTAGATGACAATTATGCAAATCAAGATCTAATTTACATAATTAATGACAAAAGTCTATAAATCTGCTGCGTTCCATAATAGAACAATTAAAATGGTGGCATATTTAATCAAGAGGAAGAGGAACATTAACAGATATTAATTATGTAAATTGTGACCCAATTTGATTAATCGATAAAAGAAATCTAAATGTCTTTTATACTGAACTAGACCTTTTTGGTTTCCACCCTCTGCGGATTACATTGACTTATGCAAACAAGGATAGCTGGAAAAAATTTCCTGTTTGTTGAAACAACAGATCCCTTGCAAAATTGGCGAAGTGGGAGGTCCGCACGTTGCTGTAGTGGGCTTTTGGTGATTGTTGGTTAGTTTGTCAGTAGTTCAAGTTGTGAAAAAGCAATGTCTTGTTTTTTTTTTATTGTGGATAGGTCAAGTGGTTTAGATTGAGGGTTTCAAGTTTGGAGTCTCTAGTAGGTAGTGGGTAAGTGCACCGGGACATTTTGTGTGAACATTTTCATAAGTGCAGGCGAGGTTTTGCTCCTTCTCGATCGTTTTATGTAACGTTACTACAAATGTAGGTTAAAATAACAATTTACAGGCAGGGAGCTGTCAACCGTGGAAAAATATTCTAACAGTTGTTTGTTGAAATAACATCACCTGTCAACAACTTGCATGCTTAACCGCTGCTAATTGACACCTCTGTGTCCTCAGAGTGCGGCACATCTGGCCTTGGGGTATTTCCTGCAAAGTTGGCCTCGAAACATTCATGCATTTGTGTTATTTGTGCATACGGTATGTTACTATGATGCAAACATGATTTGAACCACATCACAAATTTTGTTTCTATCGGGCATAAAGACTGTATACTGTACGATCTAGTATGAAAAAAATAACTTGGCTTGACCTGGGTGAAAGGGCAGGTTTGAAACTTTCTTGGGCCATCAGAAGAAAGTCGTGTTAGCTGAGAACTCATGTATAATCGGGCGTACGTAAGGAAAAACCCTTCGGGTAGGATTGTACTAGGAGTCTTCCTATGGGTCATGTGGAGGTGAAATTGAGAAGCCAACATTGGAAGGCTATGGTAAAATGTACACCATATGGGCTACCAAACAGTACGGACATAGCCAAACAGTATCCCCGACTTGAGGTATAACCGGCAACTAAAGGATCTACTCGATCGTGGAAAATGTTACGTTTCAACAAGAAGACATTTATTCCAATATTCAGGTTAAATTGCAGTGACAGGAAAGGCGTGTTGGGTAGGTCACCCGAGGCTGACCTAGCACTGCCAGGCATACCCCTGGGGCGTCCCTGGAGGACAGGCCGGTGGTGTTCCGCAGTAATACAAAGTCCAGCGCTGTTGTGGGCTAAAACTCTGAGACGTATGAACGGCGGCGCCAGGCTACTCCCAGCTCAGCGCCAGTATACTGCTTTCCAAATTTATGGTGTTGCATCCCGATTTTTCTAGATAATTTCGCAAAAATTTGTAAAAAATTTCCTGATTTCGGGGCTGAGTGTCGTCCATTTTGCCGTCGGCGTTGTCTATGAAAACTTGTGAATCGGCGATAATCGAGTAAACAATGAACATTTCACACGACGTTACCGAGAGAATAGCTGTCGACGATGTCATTGGTGGAACATCGGGCTCCCCGCTAGCGTTTTGAAGTCGTGTAAACAACGCTAATAGTCTGATTTGTTTGTAAACCAAAGCCCTCGACTTCGAAAATAAGTTTAAAAGCCGATACGTTTACCAACTAACCGCAACCGCAGTAAATTCCCTACCGTACCGCAACATCAGCATGTGGCGGCCGCAAAATTCGGCAACGTGACAAAAATGTCTGGTCCATGATAGCGGTATTTCCCCATGAAGGTCATAGGGCAAGTCCATTGCGCAATAAGCTTATATCGATGATTTTGCTAATTTTAGGGGGGGGGGTTAAAATTGATTCAATGACACTATCGATTTTTAGGCAAACGAAGAGATAGGAAACCAATCAAAATGTTGTGCAAATTAATATTTTTTCTTCAGAAGTTTTTTTTTTCCTTTTTAATTCAGTGAGTGTTAATTCAGAATGCAGCAGTATATTCTGAATATGTGGTCCAAATGTTAACATTTTTTTGGCAGTTCGTGTCCTGCATGGTTGGCTGGTTTATTTTTTGTACATGGTACCTGCTTGTATTTTATCTCCAGGGCAGTAGGTGAAAATAACCAAAGCTGGCAAGATGGCATCAGAAGCATAATAAAGTGTGTTTGCATGCAAGAATAGTTTTTGCTTTGAGGTTTTTTTCCTACCCATATTTTGCAGAGGAACAACTTGAACCAGAAGTTGCAGGAAATGGCTTCCATTTGTATATATCTGGAGAAAGAAAAATACTAGAGCTTCCCCCTATGGAGGTGGGACCATGCCCCCCTCTACGACAATTGCCGATTTTGTGTGAACATTTTGTAGTGTCGACACCGCACGCTTCAACTACGCTGGCTGTATAGAAGAAAACTAATTGAAGGAATTTTGAAGTTTGGATCGCCGCGCATCGGAGGGAAGAAAGAATTTCTTTACCTTTCTTGACCAGACTCCCCAGGCCATTTCTCCTCTCCCTTTTGCTGAATTCTACGATCCGTATTTCCGTAGACATGGTACAGGCTAGGTATGTTGCTTCGTTCACAAAATGACTCTCTGACCACTATAACTACGATAATCATCTTCAAAAAACCTACACTATACACACACACAACACCCTCCAAAACAATATCTGTCGAAGGCATGAGTCCTCCGAACTCTAGTTATACTATATTATGTTATGATCATTTAAATATATGTATTTTCAGTTGTGTTTTATTTTCAAATAAATTGTTCAAAATACTAATATTTATTGTTGAGGAGATAAATACTACAAGTCATAACAATACTGTTAGTGTTCTGTTCCCTGTGTAATGGTACGGTTAAAAAAACGACCATCTTTTTTTTTATTATTCACCAATTATTACCTTACGACCTGATAACTGATGAGAAACGGGGCTTCTCATTGGCCGATGTTGCCCGACTATAGGATAATACTTCGTAATACATGAGTATACTAAGTCTTACTTTCGTTGCTGGGTAGGTTGGTACCATCAGTGTTCCCTATCATGTGTGGTGTGGTACCATCGGTGGTCCCAAGGCTGGGTGGGATGGTGCTATTCATATCACCAAGGCTAAGTGGGGTGGTCCCGCCAGAGACCCTGGTGGTAGCTTTAGCTGTGGTACTTGCTTCTGTTGCATTCACAGTACTCAACTTGTTGACATTTAGCATTGGACTATCCTGAAAAAGCAAGAAGAAGACCAAGAATTTAAGACTAGAAAGGTGACATTTTCAAAGCAATGTTAACCTTTATATGAGGACCATCTAGCACAGCAAACTACTGCTCTGTTTATTTTTACCTAAATAACTGTAATTTCTACATTATATTTTTATATTTTTATGTTGACCAGCCTTTCCAACTCCTACCATGGACCAGTTACCAGGGTGACAGAGGTCTAGTCTATATGATCCATTTTTTTGTTTCTTTGGAGAAACAGCCTGAGAGTAAAACGTATATAAAAAAATAATAAAAACCTTTGTTATATGACTTTTTTTTTCAAATTTTAAAGTCAGCTACAGAAGTCAGTCCATATTTAAACAATGAATTTTGAACTTTTAATCAACCCACTGATTTGATAGATGGAAGAATTGTAACCATGACTTTCCTCAATTGTTGGGGGCAAAATATGAGCATGTTTAAGTTGATTCAGAACCACAACCTTTTTTTTATTTTGCAAATCAGAAAAAAAAAAACTAGAGTCCCGCCATCTCATACCTTCGCCAAATGATATTAATCTTTAAGCTACCTACATACAAAAAATCATAACGATCCGTCTACCGGTTCTTGAGTTATCCTCTTTTGAATACTTTCAAACATATAGCCATGCAGTTCCAGAGCAACCCGGTAGGGGGCCAAACTCATGTCACTTCCTTACTAGCACAAGAGCTACCTACCATCCAAATTTCGTCACCCTAGTATGTCTAGATCATGAGTTATCAAAAGCGGAAATTCAGCTGCAGTACCATAACAAGCCGCTTGGGGATCCAAAATCTAATCATTTCCAGGTCTCAAGACCTACTAGTACCCACCTACCCACCAAGTATGAAGACAATCCCTCAATGCCTTCTCAAGTTATCGTGTTTACACACACACACAAACACACACACACACACACAGACACAAACACACACACACACACACACACACACACACACACACACACACACACACACACACACACACACAAATGCCTCTGAGAACATGAGGTAATGAAGAGGTGAATCTGAGAACCAACAATATAAATTGGTATGGCCTTATGGAAAATTTGAATTGAGCCCAGACAAAGATGTTGACCTTACCGTTTGCATGCCTCGGGTCTTGTGATAGACTCCTATGATGACTCCCGTGGTGATTGCTCCCACCAGAAGCAGGACAACCACCAAAGCAGCATAAAAGCAACTTTGATTCACTGAAAAACAGTCTTTCAGATGTTTTGAGATGCCTTTCTTAAAAAGAAAAAACAGATAGCATGGCACAGAAACAATAGTCAAAATAGATAGTAACTAGAAAGGCCAACATTTGCTCAAGAGCAAATACAGCACATTTCACCCATTCTTCTTCCCCATGCCAAATTTCCCCTTTCAGCATGCAATCTATACCACTCTGTATTTGCTTGGTGATTATCTTTCCATGGGACCCTTATCTGATTATCATCATTTTGATCAAATTATCCCAACAGTCAATCAGCAAAGAGAAACTACTCTCACATGATGAGAAAATAGGTCATATGTGCTATATATTGTTATGTATGCCACTTGTGCTAAATATGACCATGCATGACCACATATAGTAAAAATCATAATAAAACCATTTTAAAAACCTATATCCAAAAAATGAAGAAAAAAAACTCCTGGTGGTATTTTATCACTTTACACCCATACCAAATTCCAGGTCTTTTGGCCCAAAAAGAGAATATGAACCAATTTAACGAAATGCCAGGAGGTGGAGAATGAGATTTTACCCATACTATTGATCACTGTTGATGACTTTATCTTGTATTTATAGTGTGTCCATGACTCAATAAAAATGATGCTGTAAGCAAACTGCTATAATGGTATTAAAACAATCTGCATCATCTCGCATATACTAGAAGTACTAGCAGACAACATTATCAACTACATACAAATGCAAGAAAGGAATCGTTTATAACAGCTGCAAACATACAATGATTTTTAAGAGTTCAAGCTCAAAGTACTCACCTTTTACCGGTAATTTCAAGCGCTAAAAACATCAGCAACGTGCAGGCTTAAAAACATTACTACAGATTGCAGGAGAGAGGAAAAAGTACTAACTATAATCACCATTTATCATATAATGAATATTTTTGGAGTCCTCAGTACTAGTGCATAGGGCAGAAAAAATTGTGAGATTTAGACAAATTGTTTACTACAGATTATGGCAACAGTTACATGATTGTACGTGTACCTCACTTGAAAATGCATAAACAACAAGATGGACCTAAATCATTACAGCGTCATGAAACAAATCAAGTTTACGTCACCGTGTTGCTTTGTCTTACTGTGAAATTCCTTGGCGTTTGGCGGACAGGGATGCTTGTGTACATCAGAGTCAGGCCCGGTGTCATCTGATGCCTGTTGGGGGTTACTGCCTTTGTTGTACACTGGATTTTGATGAAGTTGTACGTGCTCAGTGGTGTCATGCCTGGAGTCATCTGAAGCATGTTGGCGAACGTTTGTTGTTGCGCTGAGAAAGGCTTCATTATTGCACATGTTTGGAACAGCATGAGCTTCAATGTCACTATCATCAGTTGCTTTACTGTCTGTCTTTGGAGCCTGTTGGCGAACAATTGATGTTGCGCCGAGATAGGGTTCATTTTCGTACATGTCTGTAACACCACAAGGTTCCATGTCACCATCATTAGTCACTGTACTGTCTGTCTTTGAAGCCTGTTGGCAATTTTTTATTGTAGTTCTGAGATAGGTTTCATTTTCGTACATGTCTGTAACACCACGAGGTTCCATGTCACCATCATTAGTCACTGTGCTGTCTGTCTTTGAAGCCTGTTGGCAAATTTTTGTTGTTGTGCTGAGATAAGTTTCATTTTCGTACATGTCTGTTGCACTGCAAGGCTCCATGTCAGAAACGCCCTGGGTTTTTCAGCTCCTCTGGATATAGCAGATTCTCCTCTCTTTTGATGTACTTGTTCATGAAGACTCTGTTGGCAAAGCCAGATGTTTATTTTCTTAGTTTTTCTTTATTCCAACATTTCATGAGTAGACATGGTGATGGCACATTTAACTTATTTCAACTTATTTTTATGCCCCAGAGGAAAAATACAGGACAGGACAATACTTATTTTCACCTGAGTAAAGTGCCTTTCCCAACAAGATTTGTGGCATGTCAGGACTCGAACCCGGGACCTTATGGTTCCGAGTCGATCACTCTGCCGTTATGCCACATGACCTCACAAATGTTATGTCAAGGCTGGAAACACATTTTTTGTACCACTCGCCTATGCAGGTTGATGCAGTGCAGATACATGTATTTCTGATGTCTACTTAACCTGAGCCCAGGCCCATGACAAAACCAGCCCCAGACACTAGGGGGACTTATATAGCATGTATGGCCGGCTTCGGTGAATCCAAATGAACAAAAGAGCTAACCGATTCAGGCACAGGATATTTGTTACAGGCACTGCGCATTAGATTTATATTAAAAAAACTGTAGGGAGAATACGTAATTGACAAGATATTGCGGATCTTCTGGGGTATTTTCCTTTTTTGCTGTTCTATCAATTTTAATATTAGTCGTTTTAGTTTTAGTGCAAATTGATTTTTTTAGACCTAGGAAAAAATGTTGTTTTCTGATATACCCTAGAAAAACTGCTGACCCTAGCCTTTTTTGGGTGGACCCCTGCAAGAAACATCGAGCTTTTCTAGCTCCATGATCTGACATGTGAGTGATGAGACATTGTACAATCAGTTTTCCAACATTGACATAATTAAAACAAAATATGTGTCCTGATATTTTACTTTCTTAACCAAAAATTATTTTTAATGTATAAGTTGGATCACTAGAGATTGACAAAGTCTAAGAAAAAAAAAATACCTACTTACCGACCCTAAATTTCTTTCAGGACAGAAACAGGAAGTACAACCTTTTTTTTCCTATGTTTGCTTAAAGAGCTGACAAATGTAAAGCCTTATTGTTGTTATACTTAATAACCT